AAAAGCCCCCAGTGGCACAGCGGTATGTCTGCGGACTTACAACGCTAGAAACCGGGTTTCGATACCCGTGGTGGGCAGAGCACAGATAGCCCTTGTGTAGCTTTGTGCATAATTAAAAAACAAACAAAAACAAAAAAACCTTATAAAAAAAACTTGTCAAGTCATTATCTGTCTTAAACTATTATCTATTCGTACGATCACACAAACAGTCTAACTTCATCACATATGTTACTTGCACATTTAGCTCATCGTTTGTCTACACTTTATCATTGTTACTATCACATAACAATCTAGCTTCATTACTTGTGTCATCTGTTATAATAATAACAAGTGATATAATAGCTTCAAAATTTGTACGTTGTCGCTTCGTGTTTGTAATAACAAAAAGAAGATATGTATGTTTATTTGTCTTAGCGTTAAACTACACAATAGACTATCTACGCTCTGTCCTCCACAATGAATCGAACCCCTGATTTTAATATTTTAAGTAGTCATAAACTTATTGTTTACCCACTGGAGAACTAGAAAGAAAAACATAATTATTCGTAATTGTTAAGTTTAATGAGCGTCTTGCAAAGGTTGTTTGGGGACGAAGTTTCGAACTGCTAACACAAGTCTCTGTCAGGTCGAAACGGGGCCAGCCGTGGCCTTTTGATTAGAGTGCCCAGACTATGAATCTTAGGGTTTTTGATTCGCGTCACGATGTTGTAAAAACTTGCTCCACACTTTGGGGTCGTTTGTCCAATGCAGTATTGACTGTTATATCCCATTAGTCAATCATACAAGGATATGCGGTAGGTGCTGTTGACTAGCTGTCTTTCCTCTAGTCTATCAATTCAAAATTTGGGAAGGCTGTGTGCGACTATCCCTTTCTTAGTCTTGGACAAAACGTCGTCTCCAAATCACCTTAGGCGGATGAAATATCCAAAAGGAATCATTCCATGTAATGTCAAACCTGTTTTCACAAATGTAACTATGTTCCACCATTACCATTTCACTCCATTAGCCGTGCCTTCCAACGATACGAAGTCAAAGCCTTGATCGTATACTATTGTGCTTTAAGTCTCACTTCTTTTCAAAGAAGTCGTGAAGCGCCTTGTTGAGTAGAGGCAGCTTATAGGTGTACTTTACCATTCAAGTCGTTCGTGGGACTTGAGGCAACAAGAAAAGCTGCTGTTTGTATGTTGCCCGCCGTTTTTACTTCTTGTGCTACATTTGTAACAAATAAAGATGGAAGCTCTGCAGAGAGTGTACTTTGCTTTGATTGAGGCAGCTCTCGGCTCGGTTCGACAAACAAGACAAATTAGCAAGAAAAGAAATAACTTTCTAAAACTCGCTTACTGTTTGTACATTATATTTCATGCTGGAGAAACTGTAAACTAAACTTCCTATTGAAATAAAAGGATACACAACGATACGGTTTTGAATATTTTAACTTTTTTTTTTTCTATGAGCGTCGCTATCTCATCTATCAGTCGAAAGACGTGTTACGTGAAACAACTGGATTAATATCAAACATCTGTCTACGAAAGTAAAGCTCTAAAGTTAATTTAAAAAGTCCATTTATAGAAGTACAGATTAACTGTTTGAAATAGTGTTAACATCTAAGTAGCTGCTAGATTATGAAAAGGTGAATAAAGTACTGCTTAAATTATGGCTTGAAAATCATTAGGATTCTAAACGGTGACTACATATTATACATTTAAAAAAATTACCGTATTTTTCGGAATATAAGACGCACCCTTATTTTGAAGACAAAGTTTTGGGAGAAAAAAAAGCTACAGTCGCATTTGAAAGATTTTTATTGAACCAAAATTCAATTTGATACTTTAAAAATTAGAATATATTGTTCTAAACACAAAAGAGCTCAATACATCAAAATTAGAAAATACCGTAAATAAAAAAAAAGGTTTAGTGTTATTTAGTTTGATTCAAAACCTACAAAATCTTCATTGCT